TGGGATTTGTGGATCCAGTCGTATTTCACCGACTTGGAAATAGGGACATTCTTACATACAGCGCTGGTTAGAGAGTCTCAAAGGCTTTTGCTTGGAGTGGAGAACTGCACAAACAGCCCTAGGAAGGGAACCATCTCCAGCCAATTTCTCTAAAGGCTAACTGTGGTTCATTTCTTTAGGTAGCTGTGAGGGATGGAGCAGAGATACAAGATCTTCTGCTCTGGGTCACAATATGGAGGGAGGGTACTGTCTAGGTATACAGGACAGCACTTGAATGGCCTTGGATAGCTTCAGCTCCTTCCGGATTTGACTGCCTTAGAGTCTTTATTATCCTCTGACTTACACAGGAACTACCACTCACATGAGCCCTTGTGAAACAGGGGCAAATGAGTGGCCTCTGCGCTTCCCAGCCCAGAGCCGGTGGCAGGCTATGGAAATACGGCATCGCTTGTTTGAAAACTGCTCAAACCTTAACCGTTCTTTGCTGTGGTGCTGCAAATACTTCTCAAGTTTACACCTTAATAACTAGCGATTTTATAATTAACTTCGAGAAACTTTCAGGAATTCCCTGGACTGGGAAAGAAATGCCTTGGGTGAAAGGCAGCAGTCCTTGGATTACTGCTGTGCAGCGTGCCTCTTTTACAACAAGTGTTGGCCCGGGCTGTGCTTAAGAATGGGAGAGCATGTGTGCGGAGAACGGCAGCAGAGAGGCTGCCCGCATCCAGCTGTGTCTCCCCCAAGTATTCCTACACTGCAGGTCTCTGCCTGGCCCCGCTACCTCTGGTTCTATGGGTTTCCTGATGTGGAACTGAGTAAATTAAAGTGGACACTCCCAGGCTGAGTGTCGGGGAGGGCACGGTTGTAATCCCAACACTCAGGAGGCTGAGGCAGTCAGGCTGCAGTGAATTCAAGGCCATCTTGGAATGTAGAGTGGGAACTTGTCCCTTGAATCAAAATGAAATACAGTTAAAAAGAAACCAGTACATTTACAACATGGGTATATGTGATGACAAAAATAAAAAATTAAAAAAAAAAACAATAAAAAAATGGAAGTACTGGAATTCAAAGAAATGGGAAGCAAACAAGGAATCTAGCTTTAAGCACAGTTGCTCAGTATCCCCAAAGCTCCCAGATTCACTAAGCTTGCAATCTAAACTCTTTCATTTAGTCCTCAGAAGAGCCGTGAATTCTCAGGGCAAACTTAGGCTGGGAGTGCAGCTCAGCAGTAGACCATCTGAACGTTTGCAGAGCCCTGGGTTCAATCCCCAGCACCACAGAAACAAGACAGACTTGGAACTACTCACATCTTTCATTAATTGTCTGGTTGGATAATAACTAATCCGGTTCTGGCTGGTCCCTTTCTCACCCTGGAACTCTCTTGAGTAAATTTCTGCTGCTCTGAAAGACCTGTGTCAATGAATTAGCCAATGGTAGACCCACTTGTTATCTATGAGGTGATTTTATGTTGCTGTTGTTTTTTTAGTTTGTTTTCTTGAGACCTGGTATTTCAATGTAGTCCTAGCTACCCTCAAATTCCCTACATAGACTGGGCTGGCTTTGAATACCCAGTTGCCTCTGCCTCCCAAATTGTGCATCACCATGACCAGCTTGTGCACGGGTTTTGAAGATTTACTTATTTTGTTTATAATTTGTTTTTAATGTGTGTACCCGTGTGCGGGCTTATATGCACTGTATGTGTGCAGGTGCCTGCTGAGACTAAAAGAATGTGTCAGATCCCCTGTAACTGGACTTACAGACAGTTATGAGCCATATTGTAGACGCTGGGAATCTCAGTGGTTTGCAAGAGACATTAAGAGCTCTTAACTGCTGGGCCATTGTCCTGCCTCCCACTGTCCTGTCATCTATTTTATAACCAAATGTAAGAACATTAGAATACATTCTTATATATAAGAATATAAGAATTTTACTGAAGAATATAAGAAACATGAGGCAGCTTTACCTACTTCTAACCATTGCCATCCTTCAGAGTCTCTAAAAAGGGCTGTGCTCTTTTAAGGAGATTGAATAAATGAGCCGGCATCCCTGAGCCCAAAGTGGACAAGCGTCTGTACTAGGAAGCTGCTGGAGTGGTGACCTGGCTGATGTGGGACAGAAAAGTCTTACACTTTATGGCTGAGGAGGCATATGATGGGGCAGGCAGAACTTCAGATAGCCAGGAGCCCGGGGGAACAAGTAACTAACAATATAGCAAAATTTCTTGTTGCCCTGACCAGAGGTTGTTTGGCAAACTCCTCTAAGAGCCTATGCAGCCCACAGAGGTTCTGGTGTAGTTACCAGATTCTGTTTCTGTGGAGTACAAACAATCACACATCATACGTAAAATAGGCTTTGGCCTATCCCTGTTTCAGAATAACGTAATGTACAACAATAAAATGTTAGTTTCATGTAATTTTCACCTCTCGTGAAACATCTCTCTTTTACCCCAACCACTTAACAATCTTTCTCAGACCATGAGGTCATACCTGATGTCTACAGTTCGCTAATTCCTAGCAAGCACCATGCACCAGTTATTAAGCCGAGAAGAAATGGGACCCGCAAAGCTGTCCTCTCTCTTCTCCCCGGAACAACACTCCATCGAATTGCTACGCCATCCCAGGTAGCTACACAACTTGGCGGACTTGCAGCCGGATCACCTTTGTCTCTATCAGCCACTGGGGAACCTGCCTTGCCTTGATCAAGGCAGAGGGCTGCCATCTCAGAACGCCTGAAACCTGCACACAGTCCAGGTTTCCTCTTAACCATTCACAGCCCTGGGCCACGCCCACCAAAAAAGCCATCAGAGAGGCTGCCAGGAGGTAACAGCCTGGTTGACTACTGGGGCTCACTCTGCCCATTCTCCAGACCTCTGTGTAAGACAGATCCGTAGTTCCCCAGTAATTACCAGTAGCCCGTGATCAACCATGCAGACCGGAAGACATACCTGGGCAAACTGTGACAACGCCAACAATTTACTTAAGCCTGTCGTGAGAATTTAATCTCACAGCGAGTAAGTCTATCTAGAGACATGCATCGTTTTGAAATTACCACCACCAATAAATACGTAGACATCCAGGCAGTAAGAGTTAAGGTCTCTGTTCAGTGGAACCCCCTTAGTGCACTTGGTATTCGCTGTTTTTCTCCATAGATATGCTCAAGTTAAATATGCTTCTGAACAACATCCCTGTTCACCTCAACAGTAGCTTGTACTCCATCTCACATGACAGGATGTTTAATTTGCTAAGTATTTTTAAAGAATTTGAGAGGAGAGGTAGTTTCTGTCTCCTTTAATCTCATTTCTTACTTCTTACAGATCACTATGCTGTATTAGAATTTCTTTATTTTAAAATGTTTTAAATTTTAAGTCTGTATACTCATGTCACTATTTTAACTCAATTTTATATCACAGGTAAACCCTAGGTGCATATATCATTTTTTTTTCAATAAGAAATTTAAAGTAAAAAAATATTATATGCTTCTGAAAACTGTTTTTATGGTATGTTCTAAGCTTGTACAAACATCTCACTATTTTCAGTTAGGTTTATGTTTGCTCTCTGAATGGAAAATATTAACGAGCTCAAGAAAATAACTTATGAGGAAAAAGTATTCTACCAAAATTGTAGTTTCTCATATAAGATGATAACTAATTAGAAAAAAAAAATCCTTTCTATCCTGAAAAGTCACAACAAAAAGTTTAAGTGTGTTTGGGCTGATTTTTCTCTGCAACTATTTGAAGCTGTAAATGACTTAACTCAGTAAAACTCCAAATGTAATTATCTTCTGTACTTAGCCTAGGGCTCTCCATATATCTCGGCATTGCTGCCTTGCATACAAAATAGGCTTTTCCATGGCTGGTACCAATATAATGTACAACATTGTTTTAATTTCCCCTCATCGGCTAACCTCTTGCCTACACTGAACCAGTTAGGGGAAGAAGCGTCGTGAGTCATCGGCCACTCAAAAGCATTCTGGAACTCCGTTGCATAAATGGGGTTTGCGAGGTCAGGCTTTTGCAACTGTACATTTTAATAATCTCCATTTCTGACCCAATTTTTACTTTCAGAAACTAATTTTCGATTAATTACACCAAAAAGGGGATTACTGTTAAAATATGGAGGTGCATCCACAAGTTCTACCAACAAGTCAAGCTCACATTTAAAATGTCCCCAGCTCTCTCAAGGGGGATTCTCCAGGAAAACTGCACAAGTTTATTCTCCAGTCATAAGATACATTCAACATAGCCCAGAGCATTTCCAAAAACCATGTTGCAGATACAGTAAACATACATACATCTTAAATGCATTATATATTAATATGTGTGTATGTACTTGAAATACATAGTGAATTCAATTGCTCCCAGTGAGAAGAGAGAAAAGGGACCAATGCCAAAGAGGGACTGAATTCTCATATAGCTTCTAGTGTGGCTTGGGAACACACGTGTCTTTGTGTGTCCACTCGCCCATCTGGATCTCACACACTCATCCTCTGCCCATTCATGGCCATGTTCTCAGTCTCACTCCCCCCCCTAGCTCCACTTCAGTATCATTAGCAACTTCTGGGATGTACAGCAACAGCAGATTACCAGAAAGTGTGAATGACACGAGATGGCACAGAAAGCGAGAGAGAGAGAGAGAGAGAGACAAAAAGAAAAAGATGAAGACATTGAGATATGGAGGGAGGGAAAAAGGGAGAAAGGAAGAAAGGAAGAGGGGGAGGAGGAAACGAGGAAGGGAGGAAAGGCTTGGGGTGGCAGCTCACATTCCGCAGCACACGTAACGCTGCTTAGAATCTAGAAAGGTTTGAGCAACGGTCCCAAAGAGTGCACCAAGGCTGAGCTTCCCCAGACAGTAATTAAAAAATAGAATACAATGACAAGATCAAACGGACAACAGGCTGTGAGGTTTCCATTACAGAATGGGCACACAGGAAGTCATTACAGAATGCTGCAGAAATGTGGGAGCTGAGGAATACTCAAGTAATACGAGAAATAAATGTGGCTTTACCTGTAGCTCTAACTGCTGTACAACCTGCATTTGTACTCTACATTGAGCTGTGCTTCTATCGTCCAGCGCATGCTCACTGTTGAGATGT